GAATATATTCTGCCATTGGATCTTTCAAAGAAGAGGGATGGTGTGTCACAAAATGTATCCTTTGTTATTCAAAACACTTTTGACAACATTTACTTCTGATAATGCAAATACTTTTCCAAATTAAGATTACTAAGAATCATTTTGATTTTGTGGGTTAATGTCTACAATGCATTTTTATTTAATATGTTCTGGTGTGACCATGTTGTAAACAAATGTCCAATGAATAATAATCTTAAAAATGAGCGTGTACACACACACACACACACACACACACACACACACACATGGTATTTAAAGACATTACTTACATTTTCATCTTCAAGTTTCTGTACTTCATTTTGCAGTTGGAGCTCCATTAGAAATTCTTGCAGCTCAGTATCCATAATTGACCTTTAAAACACAGAAAGCAACATTAATAGTTTCACAGCCTTAAAAAGTAACAGACTTTCCAGGTTCTCAATCTGAATCCAAATAACACTAAACCATCTTCCTGATTTTATTATTATTATATTTTAAAAAGCACTCACTGTTACTGCAAATGTAGTATCATATTTCGTGTGATCGAATTAGTATTTTATGCGCATGCTGAATCTCTTTTCTCTCCCATGTTATTTCAGGGGCTCCATAATTTTGTAATTCAGATATCTAAAAATGTAATTTTGTCAAGTCAGAATTACGTTTGAGATATCTTGATTGTAATTCCGGATGTGTGACACTTTAAATAAATAATCAGGCAAAGTAAATGAGATATCTGAAATGCATTTTGACTCTCCAAAATGTAATTGAAGATATCTTGAATTGTTATTTTCAATAGTCATAATATAATTTCACATATTTAGTTTTTCCTAATCAAACTTTTTCTTTGATATCTTAAAAGTAATTACAGGTAGTCAGAAGAAGTTGATTTTATGATAATATGGCTTGCCGTTGTCAGACTTTGTGTTGCAGATATCTAATCATGATAATTCAAGACATCTGAAGTACAAAGTCCAGATATCTTGAATCATCATTCTGACTCGTCGAAATGACATAGCAATTTGGGGGAAAGGTTAAGACGCCTTTATGGTGTTTGCTAGTTAGCGGTCTGCAAAGATATATTCAACGTGAATTGTCCGGTTCTTAAAACGACCTTTAGTGCTGTAGCTCATGTTGGAACTGGTTCAGAATTACAGAAAATCTGCATTTCACCTTGGGATTGTGTTGACAATAGCATATTTACCTAGCTTTAAACTGTATATAGGATATTCAAGCACAGCTGAGTCATTTGTATTCCATTTTAAGCCTTTTCATAATTTTTAGGATTTTTAATAATTCCAAATTTAGCACTATTCCTGTTAATCTTTCAGGTAATGTGTCCTGAAAGGTTTATGTTTTTGTTTATTTTATACAACAAATAAAAGTTGACACTATGAAATTGATTTGAAATGTGTGCTGGAAATGAAAAGAATGAAAAAATAAAAGACACTGATTAGAAAAGATTACATAATATATCCCACATATAAACCTTGTTCTGTGTTTTACACTACATATCAGAGTGATGTTGATGTCAATTATTTGATCAACTTAAGCACAAAATATTGATATCTTAAATCATCTTAAGATATCTTAAATTATCATTCAGGATAGTCAGAATTTAGTTTTCCTAGTCAACTTTTTCTTTGATATCTTAAAAGTAATTACAGATACTCAGAAAAAGTTGGTTTTAGTAGTAACCTAATTTTGTGTTTAGCAAAATTCTTCATTCATAAACAAAGAGTGTTGAGATCATCCCCAATCTTTAAAGTTTTCTTATCTGAATTCAAGTTATATTTGAAATCTCTAAAATATATTGAATCATATGAATACCTGACTGAAATACTGATGGGTTTGTCCACCAATGTTCATCAGTCCTAACATGAATCCCATTTTTGCCATGTTAATAATTATTTTATTATTACAGTAATTCCTTTTATTTTTATTTTTTTCTTCCTTATCAATAATGCCTCGTACCCACATTTTTTTTTAAATTTGCCTCTACTATGCCTTCCACAGATTTGTGCTGTTGCTATTGCCTTACTTGTTTGTACTTACTTCTTTTTAATAAAGTTCAAAACAAAATACAAAAATGAAGTTGGTTTTATGATAAAACGGCTTGCCATACCCCTATTGAAGCGAGCAATTCAAGAATTCAACCAATCAACTGTCTCTAAAAATGACTCTGCCGCATCTGATTGGTTAGAACGCCTGTCTGTTTAGGATAAGTTCTCTGTCACAGCTGCGTTTTGGTTTTTAATTCACGAGCGCTCTGTTGGAAGCTGTAGAAGAAGAGGCGTCAGTTTGTCAAGTTTTTCGGGTTTTCCTGAAAGTTTTTCGGGTTTTACTGATCATTTAATCTCATCTGCCGACGGTGTGGAAGTAATATGCAAGCTATGAGGTGAGAGGAAGTATTCCTAATCCTTATTAGAGCATATCTTTTAGTGTTTTAGTCTTAGTTGCTAAATGTTAGCGAGTTAATTTACACTAAAGTTAAGGCTTAGGTTTTTAAGCTAAGTGCTACTAGCGTTTATTTTACATCATGTAAGCTCGAGTGCTAACTGTCATAGTTTAGTTTAGAGTCCGTTTTGTAATGGCTCACGCCCATTTGGTTGATTGGGATTTCTTAACCTCCTCAGAAACCTTTTCCGGGCTCCCTGGTCCTCTGACGTGAGGCTCGATGGTCAAACTGCGGTGATTACAGGCGCCAACTCCGGCATCGGCAAAGAGACAGCCATCGACCTGGCCAAGAGGGGTAACCGCTCCATCTAACTTTGTTTACCCCCCATTTTAAATATCATATTAAAATGGTTAAATTACAGCCACTCCCTGATTTGAAGGAAGGCCAACAGGGCCATCATCTAATACATAAATGTGCACATGTCATTATATAAATAAATGTAGGTTTTTGCTGTATTCAACTTGGCAAGACAAGACTGCTTTAATAAAGTATCATCAATACCTTTATCAGTCTGTCATCTAAATTACCCCCAGCTAATAAGTTCAATAAAGTAATTAAACCTTGTTTAAATTGCAATAAAATATGGGAAACGATTGCTTCTATGGAGGACCAGCAGAGTCACTGAAAAAGGAAAAACAGCCAAATTCAGTATTTAAATCCTACAAAAATCCAACTTGAAAAGCATTTTCTTATTGCACATTTTAAATGAGGTGAAATTATATTTATTAATCCATTATTAAATACTGGTATTTGACAATGTGTTTTCGAACTATTTTCCTAAATGGTGATTTAAAATCCTAAAATCTGACTTGAAATGCCTTTCCTAATCACACATTTAAAAATGTAAATGTTTCATTTTATGTGTCATCTTGCGTTTTTAATGAGAGCTGGTTACATGTCGGGAGAAACTGTGATTGGTTTAAATGTTCTGGTTGGCATAGGGACAAGAAAGGTAAAGGTCATGGAACAGGAGGGAGAGTAAAAAGGAAACTCGACTGCAAATGGATTTGACAATGGGGATAAGGAATAGGGCTGGGTTAGGGTTAATTGCATTTGCAATATAATCACAATTTACCAAAGTGCAATTTTATTTTTTATATACAGAGGAACATTTTTTTTTTTTGCTAGTTGCAGCTAGCAGCAGATCCATGCAAGTAGACGTTAACACTTTTTCACAAAAATATAGTTAAGTCCTGCAACAATGGATTCTGGGCAAGCAAGCTCTCACAAATTGAAGTACGTACTGCTTGGAGTGAAACGTCTACAAATTCGGGGTTGGTGCAAAGGAAAATTGAAATAAAATCGCAATTGTGGTTCAATATAATCACTATTTTGATCTTTGGGTAAAATTGTTTACCCTAATAAAGAATTACCTTTTTAAGTGTTGTTAGGAAAGGCATACCAATTCAGAAATGGGAATTAAAAATGTATTGTTAAATTGCTGTATTTAATAGTGCATTGATAAATAGAAATTACAATTCCTCTTGGATAATTCAGTTAAAATGTACAATTGGAAAACATTTTTCGAATTGGATTTATGATTGTGATTGTGTTGGGTTTTAACTTTCAGTGACTCTCCCAGTTCTCCATTGAATCCAGGTGTCAATAAGAAAAACCAAACCTGGGCAGCCAAGTTTTAAGCAGTCCACATGTTTTATATAATATTTGGAACCAATAACTTTTTTTATTTTATTTTTTTATCTTGATTAATTCAAGCAAGGTGATTGGAAAAAAGAAAACTTAGCTTGGAACTAAACCCAGTCTATCAGAAAAGAAATAAAAGAAGCACTGTTGTACCTTAGTGTGGTTTCACACATGGACACGGTTACTTACTGTTTCTGTTGATGAATATAATCAGCTGCCTTGATTTAACTCAGCTGTGACGCCAGAGAGGAAGTGGCATCAAAAATGTCTGAGGAATGATGTTTCAAGATGAAAGGAACACTTGTTTGTTGACATTTGGGCAGTGTTGAATAACCTAAGCTTAAGAAGTCATCTGTGTGCTTTTAAGAGCTGAAGTTGTTTAACGAGCTGCAGATAACCACCAAGCTAAGATTATGTCATCCTTATCTGTGCATTTCTGACATTTCACACAAGCTTATGCATCTGTTGTGTGCTTTACATAAGTACACTGACCTAGCGAATCAGTGTCAAAAAGGTAATAATTGATCTTTATTGATCTCCCATTGGAAAAATGTACCTCTTCATTTAACCTATCCCCTTGGGGAGCAGTGGGCTGCCATCATGGGGCGCCCGTGGAGCAATCGGAGGTTAGGGGTCTTGCACAGACACCCAGAGTGGCAGTCTGTGGCAGTGGGGCTCGAACTCAGAACCTCAGGATTCCAAGCTCTATGCCCTAACCACGAGGCCACCCCTCCCCTTAAGAGCTGTTTTTTTTCTGTTAGGTGTGAAACGGTCTTCAAGAAGCTGTAATAAATTGCAAGAAAATATTCCCCCTTAGAGACTAGAAAAAACAAGTCTTATGAAGTTCTGTTTTTCTCAGAGTTGGTTTATTCATACTTGTGATCTTTCAGTTATTTGGGTTAGGGTTATTCACGCAGCAGTCTCAGCAGAAACGCTCAAACTTTCCTCACCTGAGGTGCTTTGGACCAGCTGAGAGAAGAGTTGTACTCGCATGGAACTTTCTATTTAAAAAAAAAAATTAAACCATTAAGTTTTAAAAACAAAACCATTACAACATGGGTGCAGCAGGTCAAAGATGAGGCCGTCATCCTCAGTCTGATGGTCTTCATTAATGTCAGATGGACTCCCAGATGGTTGGACACAGCTTCCGTTTCCTGACTGGGTATTATATCCTATTAGCTTTTAATGATTCCTGGAGAACTGAAAGTTTGGAACCAGATCCTATCATATGTATTCAGTCCCAACCCTACGCATGAACTAGGTCCTGAGATACCCAAAAGTCCTCCACTTGAAGCAGGAACTCTCCTCTGACCAGAAAGGAGACAGAAGTAGATGCACAAAAAAGCAGATATAAAAAAGGTAATGGTCAGACGGTTCCACAGGCTGCCCCAACCAGAATACACATAGCCATGCAGACAAGCTCAGGGCCAACTCACATGTCAGAGGATGAAAGGGATCACAAAAAGTTGGTCACACAAGAGAAACAGGCCAAGCTCCAACATCTATAAACCAAGGTGTTGATGGCAGCAGCACAGCTGATGTTTCTCTTCAGGAAGGAGTCGGAGCCAAACGGGAACATACCAGATGAAGCTACTAGAACAAGAAAAGGCAGAAGGAACATAAAGTTTAGAGTTAAACTACTAATGCAGCATAATTGAATGATAGAGAACATGAATAGTGGTCCCTGTGTCATCAAGCAGCCTAAACCTACAGCAGCATAAATACAGGAAATGGCTCAGGATAACGAAACTGTTTTGGGTTGCATATAAGAAAGGTAGAGCCAAGGAGAAATCTGTCCAGACTGAATTCTCCCCCACTAGACTGGGCCTTTCACTCAATCTCCCTACTTCTACATACCCATCCTACTCTCATTTGGCCATGGATCAGTTCCACAGGCAGTAAAACTGCCTGATGGCAAGATGTCGACTACACCATCAGTGCTTAGCGGTATAACATTCTTTGTCTTTAGAAGAGTTTGTGTTGTCTGTGTACATGGTAACCTAAAGTTGTGGATAGATTTCAATGGAATTTTTACCAGAGGGGTACCTCATACTAAGGATAAATTCATAAAAATTTCGTAATGATCCATATCAATATGTTTTAGTTATAAGTGTATGCCCCAATTTGTGGCTAAATTTGCTGCATGGCGGAGGTGTGCACTCTATGGGTGCTGTTCTGGTTGTCAATAATAATCGCAAAACTTCATTAAACCTTTGGCATGTAAATGTGGCCAGCAGAGTCATACCTGAGGCTTGTTAATGCTTCAAAACTTGGGTAATTTGTCTGCAACTGTCTAGGCAAAATGATGACGATGACTGCTGGGTTTCCTTATATGGGGAAAACGCCTTTAACCAGTCTGTCTGTATAATTTGATTAAATTGTCTTTGTAATGTACCTTGAGGTAATGTGCTGTGAATTTTTGGTATATATGCAAACTACAATTAAATGTTTTCTTTACACTGTTTCAGGGGGAGTTCAAATGTAGAAATTCAAAATGACTTCTTCGAGAGATACTTTTGCTTGATACGTTTATATTTGGCTTAATCTGTAAAAGATCTTTCATCCTGGAGCTTCTCTGTTTTTCCTCTAACTCAGCTGAAGAACCTGTTTGTCTAGATCTGACGACTTGTCATGCTTTAATTGTCGGAGGTTCTACCTGGTTGGCTTCATCCAACAACCAAATCCTAAGAGGATATTCTACAACAGTGGAGCGGCAGGTCATATCTTTGATCACAAGAGGGCGCTCTTCACTCTGTAGTAATTTTCTCCCAGTTATAATTGAACTTTGCCATAACAAAGTACAATCAGCTGACTGCACAAAATCTGGAAAGCCTAAGAGATTTGATATCTTTGATGCCTTTTTTGCATCAAATGTGTTGAGCCATGGCTGAAAATATTAATGCATGAAAAAAATCTTATTCAAATCAAGAACTTTGTGTGAGTAGTATTGAGAGGCTTGAAGGTGTCCAGCGACCAACAGAACCGGCTTACTGAATGCTGGCTGAATTCATTACACAAAGGGTAGGGGGGACTTGTGAAAAATGTGCTTGTGGCCGATTAAAATTCTGCATTAAGTCAACGGGTGGACGGCAGAAGTTATTTGCTCTAAGCAATCTCCTTCTGGTTATTCAGGTGGAAAAGATTATTGTCCAAATGAAATTTATCTGTTTTTTTTTTTCCTGTTTAGGAGCCAGAGTGATCTTGGCATGTCGAGATATGGAGAAGGCACAGGCAGCTGTAACTGAAATCATCGAAAGCTCTGGCAGTGACAGTGTTCTCTGCATGAAACTCGATTTATCAGACAGCAAATCTATCAGAGAGTTTGCTGAAGCTATCAATAAAAGTAAACCTACCTGATTATATTGGATAATGAGGAAAATAATGCCCTAACTGCTATTGGAGCTGAAGATGTGACATGTTTGTGATTCCTTTTTTTTATCCTGCAGATGAGCAAAAACTTAACCTCCTCATCAACAATGCAGGTGTGATGGTTTGTCCGTACGGGAAAACTGCAGATGGCTTCGAAATGCAGATTGGAGTCAATCACTTTGGTAAGTTGAACTAATCAGGGATCAATCCTTAGTTCTTTTCAGATCTGGTTTTAACAGGAGTCCCCACTAATTCAGTCGAACGGCCCAGTGACAAGAATTCAAGTGAACGTCATGATATAGGATCCAATTGAACCCAAATTTATGTTTTAATTTTTAAATGCCTCATCAAACTAAATAAGTCATAACATAATGTTTATGGCCTACTCCGGAAGTCTTCAACAGGGGGTCTGTGGCCCCTAGGGGGTCCATGGGGGTACTGCATTGGGGTTGCGAAAGTTTTGGTTGATTAGGCTTTTTTTAAACGTATTCCTCCTGCAATTTTTTCCACTAATTGAAATGTCTTTAAATGCACATTAACATGAATTCAACACACTGTAGTAAA